TAATAATAATAATAATAATAATAATTACCGGTGAATGACCAAATGTTTGGATGAATACCAAATCTTAATTTATTTCGGCGATTATTTCCTTCCGAAAAATTATTGGTTCTAGTCTTTTCATTATATACACTGAAACCAATCGGTTTTACTGTTGTTAACCAGTACCGTCTAAAATACCTTATAAACATTCCGAATATTTGCTGAATATCGGCAGGTAAATTTGTGATCAACCAGTTGTACGCTGGCACAATATCCTGATGTGGCAGTAAAGCTAGGGCCATAAATTTTCGAATAATAATTTGGCCCGGTATCCACTCTTTACATAACCGAAATAAATCAAATTGTTTTAGTTTTTTTATCAGCGCCTGTAAAGAAATGAATTTATGACGCTAATATTGAAGTGTTACGAAGGTTTTTACGTCCAATTATTAAATGTTAATAATAATAATAATAATAATAATAATTTTTTTTTTTTGTTACTTATCATATAATTTAAGTATTTGGCTCACTTGGCAAAAGTGAAAATAACAACCAACGTTGTGAGCTTGAGGAAAAGTTAAATTGACAGAATATCGTAAAGAAGCTTCAAAATCAGTAATGATAGTTTGAGGTTGGATGTGCGGAGCCAAAGTATCCTTAAAATACGTCAAGCCTGCCGTGTAAGCAGATGATGACTTTGATGTCATAAGTATCCAGCATATTGATAACGGCTGCAACAACGAGAAGAAAGATTATAATTTGGACGTGAGAGTTATTCTTTTAGTTTTTAATTAACGTTAACAAAAAACTTTAGTGATTAATGAATGTAGAACATAAATTTCAAAACGAAGATCATTGAAATTGAAGTAAACATCTACAGGGTTATTACATATGAAGCAATTAAAGATATCGGATAGGAGTGTATTTTTTCTGAAATCTAATCAAGTTAATATTGAAAAATCAGATTGTTATTAAATATTTGTTAATTATATTTACCGTATCATCTATTATTCCTATGATTGAAAAAACCTGATAAATTTTTGGCTTTATCGGCCTTATTTTGAATGTTGCATCCATTAACAATGTGACAGGGTTTATTAATCCCAAAAAATTAATATCACTAATTACGGTAATAAATGATCCATCAGCAACCGCAATAGTATGTACATCCAATAGTCCATTACCATATCTTATTAAATTTTGCCACTGGGGAATTTCAAGATGCGCTGCGTATTCCATCAAATTTCTGGGAGTTGAAGGATGTTGTGAACGGACTTGCTTTCGCCACCGTAGCATTACGGGTTCCATCTTAATCCATGTTAATGTGACAGCAGCAACTGAATGGCTGTAGGTAATATTTTCAAGATTAGTAGAAAATGTTATAATGATTCACAATTATCTGCATAAGAGTGGGCGAAAAAACCCGACTTTTTTTTTAATTGAAAACTTTGTGCAGAGTACTAGAAATATTGTGGAAACAGTAAGAGACTTTTGTTGAATATCATGTCCTAATTCTTAAAATTTTTTATTTTATTGTAAAAGTTAGTTATTTAAGGTGACATGTTCCGTAAATAGTAACTTTCAACCTTGAAATAATTTTTTTTCTGTTGTTGTTAATTATAAAATTAAATAAAATTATAAATAAAACTTTTAAAAAAAGTCATCCACGGAAGTTCCTTTTTATAAGAATTACCCATATAAAATGGAAACAGTAAGATTAACGAAAAATTTGAAGAAAACTTTTCTTATAAAAACTTGAATTCTCGAAGAACAAATTATAAATTACTTTGTTTGTTATTAAAGTTCTAAAGTTATGTTCAAAAAATGCGTTTGTAACAAAACAATCGTGATGATTGATCTCTTATAATCAATAAGAACGCTTAATATTCCTTTAAATTTATTTTTCTGTTCTCTAAATAGTTTTGTCAAAATGTTTCATATTAAAATTATAGAATTTTTCCACTTTTGTAGCCTAGTCTAATTCATTTTTAATTATTGTGATTGATTGATATCAATATTTTACCGTTGACACAGATGATCGTAAATTAATCGGAATGATTGGAATGGTTCAATTAAAACAGCTTTGTACAGCTCTTTTTGGAATATACGCTGAAGATGTAACAACCGATTTCTTGCATGGTTATGGCCAATCGTTAGAACTGGTGCACCATCAACCAACTTTCCGGTGGCAGGACATCCTTGTCGTCTACGACCATAACATCTGATGTATCTAAGTATATAAAAGGAAGAAAAGAACCAAATAAATTATTGCCATCATTGTTATAACTTTTCTTTATTAATAATAATTTTATGCATCATAAGCCTATAACGATAATAAAGATATTTATTTTGATGTATGATGCTGGAATATTTTTAGTATAATTTAAAAATAAGCACAGAAAATTTTCCCTAAATAATTATATGTATAGTATTGATACTTGTGTAAATAGAATGCTTTTTTAACATTTATTTGAAAAATTTTATGAAATTATAAATGTTGAAATAATTATTGTTGTCCAGTCTAATTTTCAGGTGCTGTTTCTTAACTTTTATTTTTTTAATACAGGTTTTTATTGTCAAAATGAAAATACGACGACAATAATTTGAAAATGGTTTGATTTTTTTTTTAAATTATTTGCTATTGCTTAAGCTTTTGAATTTTCGTTGCAATTTTAGTTTTAAAATTAATGTTAAATGCAGTAGGATCTACTTTAATAAAATAGCTTTATTATATACCTTAATTCGTCAACCGCTTTATAACAATAATACGAATATCCATCAAAATCTTTGTCAATAAGCTTTATAGCCATTCGTTGGCCTTGCCTGAATATATCAAATGACATTATTTTTTAAGAAATGAATAATTAATTTTTTTTTAACACTGAATAATTAAGTTTTTAAATAAATAAAACATGTACGTCAGACATTGCACATCACTTCAATAGGTTATCCGTCCATAAAATAAAAATACATAAATGTCTTGAAATTAGTCATAAGTCGAAACTCACTATAATCGGTACACAATTCCTTATTGGCTGCCATTGAGGTGCGTGCGTAGCGCGCTATTTGAATTTATACTTCTTCATAGTACATAAACAGGAGTTTGCACTTATTCACTAACTTTTGACTTATGGCTTTTGAAACCTCTATATTCATTCTGTCCTTGTTGTATATTGGCGTCCACACTAGTGTGTCGGTAATAATTCTATGTATAATAATGTAGGCTCATCATTTATTTGCGGAGTGATTTCAGAGTGATTATTTCGGAGTGCTTTCGAATTTCACTCCGAAAAACATCCGCGATCGGAGTTTTGACAATAAATAAAATAAGGAAATCAGTCCACGAGAAAATTTTTATTGAACAGATTTTTTTTTTATGAATTGTTGTTGATCTTGACTACCCATATGCATATACTCAAATAAAAAATCTCGATGAGTATAAAACCATAATGGACTTCTATTTATGAAAATATTAATAATTAAGGAATGATGATGGATTTTGTTAACTAATGATGTTTTTAACGATATAAGCTCATTCCGATGTAACACTCATCAAGAGCTTTCATTTGAGTATTCACATCAATTTTTCATTTATTTTATATATTTATATATATTATATATATGTATATATGAAAAATATATCAAAAATGCATGTGAATACTCAAATGAAAGGTCGTGACGACTGTAACATCGGGATGAGCTTACATCTTTAAAAATATCATAAGTTGACAAGATACAATGTCATTTCTTAATTATTGAAGTTTTGAAAGATATAAGCTCATCCCGATGTTACAGTCATCAAGAGCTTTCATTTGAGTACCCACATGCATTTTGATATATTTTCATATATACATATATATAATATATATAAATATATAAAATATATGAAAAATTGATGTGGGTACTCAAATGAAAGGTCTTGACGAGTGTAACATCGGGATGAGCTTACATCTTTAAAAATATTATTAGTTGACAAGATACAATGTCATTTCAAAATTATTGAAGTTTTGAAAGATATAAGCTCATCCCGATGTTACACTCATTGGGTTCTTTCATTTGAGTACCCACATAACATTTTTTATATATTTTATATATATGTTATTTGTGAAATACATAAATATATAAAATATATCAAAAATGCATGTGGGTACTCAAATGAAAGCTCTTGATGAGTATAAAATCAAAATGGGCTTATATTTTCGAAAATGTTAATTATTGAAGAATACCCATTGCATATTGTTAACTAATGATGTTTTTAACTATACAAGCTCATTCCTAAAATTTCTTAATTTAAGACGTGTGTATATGGCAACGTCTGTCGGGTCCGCTAGTATGTATATATATATTTTTTTTTTGAAAATTTTTAATTATAATTAATTTATAAAAAAAAAATAAATAAAAACATTATAATAATGATTAAAATGAAATATTATCAAAAATAATAAATTAAATTTTTAATAATGAAATATAAAAAAGGTTTATAAAAATATTTTCTTCACAAAAATTTACTTATTTCTAAATTCATTCATTTTGGGAGTGAATGCGGAGTGAATTTTATTATTAATAAAAATTAACTCCTTCTCGGAGTAAATATCACTCCCACTGGGAGTGAATCAATTAAAAATTATTCACTCCTCATTCACTCCGCGTTCACTCCGCAAATTTTTTACAGTGTGTTAAGCCTAGTCTTAATAAAAGAGAGACCCTACCGAAAGATGACTAACTACTGTATGGAGGGTCTTATTATGTGACTGAACAGTAATTATAGATATATTGTCATTGTCAGATAGCGTAAAGAGATAATTCTTGGGCTTGTGACGGAGAGGAAGCCGGGTTCGGTTCCTCGGTGATTCAAAATTATTTTTTCTGTCACCGAAAGTTCTTTTTAATTTGAGTGATCGAAAAATATTATTATTATAATACCATCGTAATTTTTCTAGCCCGGAGAAAATTTTACAGTAGAACTTATTATCTACACAGAAAAAAAAATCTACTTGAATCAAGTAGATAATTTTGAAAAACTTCATCTTCTTGAATTTTTCGTCTTGAATCATGACAGTGAAACTTTTTAAAATTATTTTCTTGGTTCAAGAATTTTTCACTTGATTCCAGTTAATTTTTTTTGTTCTGTGTATGTACTTATAGTAGAATCTTAAAACTTAATTCGACAGCCGTGATTATTTTTTAAATTATTAAATAAACGCAATGTGAATTGTAGTATTTACTGTCCGATAATGGTAGGTTCTACAATCATAATGATAATCAGCAGTACTCTCTTAAGTCGAAATAGTGACTTTCGCGACTATGAAATAGTGACTATTCACTATTGAAAATTAAACTGGTAACATGCAATCACTACATTGTCTTATAGTAAATATTGCCAGGACGGATATATTTTAAATAATCTCGCCACTCCTGCTAAAGAAGAAAAGACAAAAAACTATTATTTCTATAAATCTATCCTTGTAATTATTTTGGAATTGAGGGAAAAAATTCTGACGTAGGGTTATTAAAATATCTTCATGGAAAAAATTGAGGTCCATAGAAAAACTATAAGTAAAAATGAGATGGCGATAATCCGCAAAAGTAACACTATACAGCGAATAAAAATACAGCAATATATATGGGGTCCGAACAACCTTAACAAATAAATTTTTCATTGATTTTCAGAAAAATTAAAATACTGAAGGAAAATTCAGAATTTTCAAAAATTTTGCCAATTTTACAAATATTTTAATCTTCTAAAGAAGTAAGTTTGAAATTAATTAAATTTAAAAAAAAAAAGTAAGTTTTTTAACTAGTTACAATTTTCCAACAAAATTTAGAATTTCAAAAGAAAACTTTAAAATTTACAAAGAAATTAATATTTTTCGAAATAATTAAATTCTTTAAATTGTTCAATTTTAGTCATTGCTTAAAACTTTTTTAACAATAATTATAATAACCAGCAACTTTATAGTCATTATGTGACTGCTGAGACTTGTGAATTACAAATAAATACAATTTTGCTTAATTAAATAATAGTTTCGTTATATTGCATTTTACTTTGTTAAATTAACAATTGACATTTTTAATAATATAAGCTCATCCCGATGTTACACTCATCAAGAGCTTTTATTTCAGTACCCACATCGATTTTTCATATATTTGTCATAAATACATATATTTAATATAAAAAATAGATGTGAGTACTCAAATGAAAGATTTCGATGAGTGTAATGTCGGACTGAGCTTATATGTTTAAAAATGTCAATAGTTCACAAGATATCAGATCATTTATTTATTTATTATGGAGCTAATAGAGCTAGAGCATTTTTTAATGCAGCCAAAATTCTGAAACAGAAAGAAAAATTTTTTGACTGGAGAACAAAATTCTTAACTCAAGAAAATTCGGACGCCTGAAGGAAGATCGAAGTTGTGTTAGCAGAAGTAAACATTTTTCTTGAAATTCTATTCGTGGTGGAAGTAATCTTTCTTAATTCAAATTATCACCAATACTTAATACAATAAGTTTTTATATTTGATGAAGATTTTTAGATTCCTTTTAAGAAAGCAGTGCCACCTACTTTAGCTGAGAAAAAAATTCTGTCACCTTGAGAAAATTTTTCTCTTCAATATATTTGATTATTGAATAATCTACTACGTAGCAAAGCGTTTTTTTCGAAATTCTTCTCGCTTAAGAGAAAAATATAAAGCTGCAATTGCAGGGACCGGCTGTTAATATGTCAAGTATATAGTGTATCCATAATATTCTGATTGGTTTTTCCAAGAAGATTAGAATCAGCTGATTGGTCGAGTATCAAGAGTGGAAAGGGATTGACAGCAAGAATTAACCGTATATTGCGGGTACCCTTACTCCAGCTATTTGTTATTACTCCGGTACTTAGTTACCAGTTCATATCAGTGCGGCCAGATCGTGGATAAAATTTACCACCTCTGACGCCGCACGCGCTACGCATACAGCGAAAGCGGTATATCAGTGTGTCGGGTTGGGGGAAACAGCAGACTAGGTGTAACAGGACGGTAACATGTTACGGCTGATACCTCCTGCATATAAAAAATATGGATGAAATTTTTTTTCAGGCAATAATAAGAGTGATTTCTTTTGAAAAAACAGTCAAAATTGAGAAGAATTCATCGTCAAATGGTAAACATCTACGAATATTTTCTGCAATCAATACGTGAAATTGTAAACAATTGTAGCGAACTTGTTTGATAATAGATTCAGGAACGCCAAATCTCTACACTCGTTTCCACCATCTACGTCATCTACATGACGCTGATTGGTTATAAGATTGGAGTCGATCTTGTGAGCTTCGAAGATTACTGGCTTTAATAAAGCTGGCTTCAAGAACCTTTGAAGAACTTCAACGAGCAAACCGATGGTTTTAAATAGATTCAACATTTGTGGGGCAATTGACAAGGGGGTAATGCACACAATTTCGGATCTCAGAAATCAACAATGTTAAAACTCAGAGAACCGACGAGTTACGAGCGAAGCAGTGTGTTAGTAAACAAAGTGTGTTAGTAAACAAACGAACCGGCGTTTGTGGGACCACAGCGCCATGCGAGATTCTCGTGCGTTTTGACAAACCTTCGAAAATTGCTTGTAAGTCATCACAAGCAAAAAAAAATTTTGCAGTTGAATAATATATAATATTTAGCTAATAATTGAAAGAAGAGTTATCCAATAAATAATAATTACAGAAAAAACAAAAAAAAAACAAAAGTAGTTTCGTGCGGGATTGAACACGTGAACTTGCGCACAGCAGACCAAAAACTTCAGCGAACAGCCATTGTTGCGCTTCAACTTAAATGTAAGAACTAATATAACAATTGTGTTTAGGAATTTTCGGATAACAATTATTATTATTATTATTATTATACATATTATTATTATTATTATTATACATATTATAATTATTATATTATTATTATTATTATTATTATTATTATTATTATTGAAAAAAAATTTCATCCATATTTTTCATAAGCAGGAGGTATCAGCCGTAACATGTGCCATCCTGCTACACGTAGTTGTCTGTTTCCCCCACCCGACACACCGATACATCGCTTTCGCTGTATGTGTAGCGCGCGCAGCGTCAGAGAGGTGGTAAGTTTGGATCGGGCCGCACTGGTTCTCATCAGTTTCGCGTGTCGTTCGTCCGTTCATGGTGTTAAGCTTTTATTTATTGTGTCAACGTTTAGATTAACAAAGTGAAAAAAAAATTAACTAATGGCTGCTACTAAGCGAAGATCTTCGATCGAATCGAAGCCAGATCGGATATATAATGACTACAGTTACCATTATGGACGTGTAGCACCAGGCGGGAGGTAAGTGAATAAACTCGGAAATTAAAAAAAAAAAATATTAATCGGTAAATATTTACCAACCATTATAATTTTAATTTTTTTGAACGAAATTTCTATTTGTTTTTATTGAAATATTTTTTTTTGAAAAATACATCAAAAACGAACAATTAAAAAAAAAAGTTAATTATGACAATTTAAACAAATTATAAAAAAAAATTATGATATTTGATTTTTTTTAAGTTATCCATTTTTCATGTATTTTTAAAAAAGAAAGATATAAATATATTGCCGGTCAGGTAATTATTTACAAGTGGCGTCAACCCTACTTTGGACCATAACTAGGTGAAAAATTATCAATTTTAGCATTTTTTTTATTCTGCTTGTTTTAACGGCGCAAATAAAAATCTTTATTTTTTTCTTTCGCTACATTTTTTATCATAAATGCACCGTTAAAACAAGCAGGATAAAAAAAAGCTAAAAATGCTCATTTTTCACCTAGTTATGGCCCAAAAATCTATTAAATGTCGGAGTATTTTTTCGAAAATTTTTATTAATTGTTAATGTCGTTTACTTTTTTTTTTCTCTATTAATTATTATTTTTATAAACAAAAAATAATATAAATTAAAAAAAGGCACTGGCATTTCTTGGAACAGAAAGAAAAAAGTCAGCTTACGCTCGAGTCATTCTACGAACATACAGTTGAGTCGCGTTCTCAGTATTTGAACTATTGGAGTAAAAAATTCTAAGAAATTGACATTTGCCAATGATAGAGAGTGTAAAACTTTTGTTTTACACAGAAGGATAACTGTTGAATTTATTTAAACGGAGTTATGCTTATAATTTTTTTTCGTCAATGTTTTAAATTCATATAAATAATTTTCAGTTCAATTTTTTTTACTAATAAAAACCTTTTTTCAAAAAATTTTTCTTAATTTGGAAATGTCAGCTCTATAACCTTTCAGTACCCAGATTATGAGAATTTTACTGAAGGGATAATTATACTGAAGGGATAATTATGAAATAATTTTGTATGGTGTAAATTATTAATATTTTCGAAGATATAAGCTCATCCCCATGTGAAAAAAAATGTCAACTATCGACACTTATCTTTACAATAACAAGATTTTTAATTCTTTTTTTGTTATTTTTTAGATTTTTGATTTGCTCAAAACGCAGCTCCCTCAATTGCAACGCTCAAGGTTTCTTAGACTTGGAAGGAAATTTTACGCTTCTGCGAGATCGCAACGAAGACGACGAACCTGTAAATCCTCATTGCCATGCTCCGGAAAAAAAATTAACTGAAGATGCAATTTTTCAAAGAGAAATGCATAAACTCGTTGTGCATTCTTTTTTATCTAATAACAAAATTTATGATAGTTTAAAGGATTTGTAAGAATAATAACTTTTTATTTTTACTTATAAAATATTTAATTTTAATTTATAAATTTAATAAATTGCCTAGATTTGTTTTAATAAAATATTTTTTTTTCGCTTCTGTCGCAAAATGTTGTAGATATCCGAATGCCGCCGAAAATTCTCCATACCCTGAGATCACTCCACGTATGCGGCAATGGAGAAAAACTAGAAAATTTCCCGACTTGGCTGATGGCGATTTAACGAAGTTCATAGATTTAATTACAAATGATGATCAGTGGAAAGTGGCAAAACGTCATGATGAAGGATCTATGACTTTTCGCACCAGTGTTAAAAATAATCAAGTTAAAGCAGTTACTTTCGCAGACTCTGAGTTCCTGGAATTAATAAAACCCAGTTTATATAAAGTAGTTTATATCGAGGAATCGCCAATCACCTTAAATGATATTGAAGAGTCTCACATTATTCTTGGAACAACATCTCACAAGAATTATGTAAGTAACTTTAATATTAGGGTGCACTTATGATGAAAAATATCGTCAAGAAAAAAAAAAATAAAGATTGGATAAAAGTAAAACTTAGAAAAAATATGAGTTTTTGGACGAAATTTTTATTATATCTTTTTTTGATTTTATGAAAAAAAATTTTTTTTTGTAATCCATTAAAAGCAAACAATTTAAAATTTAAAAAAACTTAACGGTCACAATTTTTAAAAATTTTACAAAGTTTTTAGAAAATTTGTAAAATTCTTTCAAATTTTGCTAATAAACTATTTTTTTTTAATTGCTCCTTTTTTATGCATTATAAAAAAAATATATCAATGAAATGAAATTGAATTTTTTTTCAAAAAAATGCAAATTGAAATGGTTCACTCGTAAATTATTACTTCAATGGCTCAAAGATATTAAAAAAGGTTGAAAATGACAAATATGTAGACATATATTTTGCATGGCTTTAATTTTTTATTTTTAAATTGAGAAAATTATAAATTTATTTATATTACAGGCGTTTCCAATATTATGGTCTGTTATGAATGATTGTTCACAAGAAAATTACAGCGCTGTCATTAGAAATGGCTTAGCCAATTTCTTAGGTGATAACCAGCCAGAAACCATTTATTATAATTTCGATGAGAAAATTTTTTATGCTCTACGTAACAGATACGCAACAACGAGAATTAAAGGAACCTTTGAAGCTTATTGCAATGTAAGTTGTTAAAACTAATATTGTTGTTTAAATTTTGTGTTTGCTATTACTCATTATCAATAATACCGTATATTTATATATTTATTCTATTATTAAATATTGAATACCATTTATAAAAAATTGCAAGAGGTACAAAGACATTAAGGCACTATCTCACGACTGATGAATGGTAGTTAATTTGGCAATTATCATGAAGGCATTAATAGTTAAATTTATTAATGAGTAATTACTTTGTTTCAATTAAGTAGTAAGTCTTTGTAAAGTTGGATCAAAACGCTGCGATAATATGAAATTCTTATAATGCATTCGAGAAATTGTTTCACTTTTATAATTTACAATCGCTGGTGGATATTCTTTGGCAAATTGGTGATAATCTATTGCTTTTTTTCAGCTTTTGTTTGCTAAAACAGCTCAAGAAACTGAAATTAGGCAAAATAATGATGAACACCTCGTAAGAATTTTTTCCAAACTGATTCTTCTCAGCCTATTGCCACCTCACTTAATTATCAGTACTTTTTATGAAGTAGTGCAAAATATGAGTCCTGATCACTACCGAACGTTCAAACCAGTTCTTGAATACTATCTTGAAGAATTTATTAAAAAAGTTGGTGTCAGTAACTTCACATTTCATAATGATGTTGACGCGATAACTAACTGTTCTAAGCGGCATAGTACTCGCCTGAAGAATTCAAATCGTTCGAAAACAAAATTATGGAATTTCTTGGGTAAGTTCAAAACATAATTAAAAGATTTGAACGTAACCAGTTAAATTTATAATTTTTACATTTTTGAACTTCTCATAACGCGAAACGTTTTACACTGGACATGTCAATTTCAATTTTATATTTAATCAATTATTTGCATGACAGGATCGACAATGGCTATTCAAGTACAAAATTCAAAAGACATCACAAAACTTATTCAAAAAAAGTCAACTGCTGGTAGTAGTGCCTCCCGGGTTGATAGTCTCATTGATATACAAAAAATTCAGCGCTTAAATAATTTATTAGATAAAAATGAGATCACCCCCTTGGGATTTTTATCTAAAGGTGTTGCTGTAATTGACCAGTTCGTAGCTGATCTCATTGTCAATAATCCTGGTGTCAAGGTGAACTTTCAAGTTGCAGATCTCGTACCAATTCATCACAAATTGAGTAAGCAAAATTTATTTTTTATAACAAAAAATTATTTTTATATTATTTAATACTATTGTAATTTTTAGTTGCCAAAATTGACGAAATTCGTGAAATCGAACCGGAAGCACCGGGTATACTGCTGACTGGTGAAGACATCAGGGAAAATGATGACGGTGAAGATGATAATGTACATGTTGGGTTGGAAATACTGGAAGAAGAGTTGATAGAGCAATATCATGATAACGAAGGTAACAATAAACATGCATTATCTTTCTAAATAAATGAGAATAATTGTTAGTATATAAATAATAATAATCTGAAGTATAATCTCAGGACAAAATTTTTAATTGATTGAAGAAAATAATTCTTGAATAATGAAAAATAGTTTGGAAGAGTTTTGTTGATTTAAACGAAGACGATAAATTCTTGAATCAAGTAAAATTTTTTAAAATCAAGAAAAATTTCTTAGACTAAGAATTTTTCGTTTTGATTCAATACAAAAAAATTAATTATTTGATTCAATAAAATTAATTATAAGAATACTATAATAATAATAATAATACATTAATATTTTGTGATAATAGTTGCTGAAGAAGACAACGCTTTTGAAGCACCCAATGAAGCTAATGTGATCGTTGGGGACATCAATGAAAGAATCGGTAAGATGATAGATTAAAATATATACTAAGTAAAATTTCAAATAAACTAAAATTTATATTACAATTTTTTCAGAAGTAGCTGAAGAAGAAAATGGAGTCGGGATGATAAATGACGATGTAGTCTTTGTTGAAGTAACCACTCTGGATGGGAAACGATATTTTAAAAGTGAGTTAAATTAATCAATCAATTTACACGCATTTAATAGCAGTTAATCGCATATTAAAAAATTGGATTTTTATTTATATATATTTCGCATTAATATCTGGACAACCTTAAAGATAATAATGAGCGCTCAAAAATTAGTTTTTAAACCATAAAAAAAATAAGATTTAAAAGTTAACGACATTTATTATCCGGTTAATATCATTTATCTTGAGATTATAGTTAAAGTATTTACTTAATCTAAAATTTGGGTTCGGAGCATCTGTACATCAAATTTTTGTACATTTAAAAATCCCTCAGAAGAAAATCTATACATGAAACAAGTCTCATTAAAAATCCCTTAGCTAAAAATGTTTTAAAGAAACAATTTATTACATACGAATTTCTAATTATAAATAATTTTCTACAATTTCAGGTTCTGATGTATGTTGTGTGTGTAGAGACGAGGATTCTCCAGTGGACATAATCTACAACCCTTGCAGACATTGTCTGTTTTGTCAAGGATGTCAAAAAAACTACGTCGATAAAGTCTATGGAGAGAAAGAAATTTTTAGGGGATGATCGACCCTAAGACTATAATTTTTTTTCTCAACTTCCCGCTAAGAAAATTGAAAATTTTAGAAAAAAAGGAAGTTATTGATTTTAATCCGAATTTCGAAAGTCGAGTTTTCATCGGATTGCCATGTTTTGAGGTCCCAGAAAGCTATTTTGACTATTCACGCCGAGATGTCCGGACGCGCACGTGTGTGTGTGTGTGTGTGTGTGTGTGTGTGTGTGTGTGTGTGTGTGTGTGTGTGTGTAGGGGGGGGGGTGTATGTGTGTAAATAAATTTTTTACGTACGGTTTCTAAAAAAACGAGTCAACCGATCAAATTCTACGATTCAACATTCAAAGGGTTTATCGAACTTTAAATCTGATTAGATTAGAGAGTTAATTCGAGCCATTCCGAAGAAATTTAAAAAAAAATTGAAAAAATTCGAATATTAGGTAGCAATATGACTTTTGCTATGTAGAGGTCAGCTAAGAACGAATTTTTTTTATTTTTTTTAATTCTTTTGGAATGGCTCGATGAATCAACTCTCTAATCTAATCAGATCTAAGTTTCAATAAACCATTCGAATGTTGTGTCGTAGAATTTTATCGGTTGATTTGTTTTTGAGAAACCGTACGACAAAAGAAAAGTTTTCTACTTGACACCATCTACGGAATAGTAACGAGTGGATCGTTACGGGTACAATCCATACAGCTATGAGTAGCAGTCTGGATATTGACCGTCACGATCTGTTCGGGTGCCATTAACGATACTATTGCTACCGTTAGTATACAGTTTTCCTAACCTTACTATGCTCTAGATAGCAAAGTGTTGATCCTGACAGTAGCGTTATCGTATCTTGCGGAGCAGAAAACTTTTTTTTTCCGTGTACAGACTAGGGGTAGACTTATTATTCGTAATTTTTTATTTTCAGAGACGTCCAATTTGTTTTTTAACCCTGAGGGCGACGATTGTAGTCCAGATGATGACGATCCTGATTCTGATAGTGATAGTTCTCACAGCGACCGTTTGAGTTCTAGTGACGAGAGAGACAGTGAAAGTGACCATGAAGAAATTAATGAACCTTTGAACTCACCTCTATATAATGGATCTCCGATTACAATTGGCGAAAGTATCTTGTCTCTTCTAATGCTAGTAATACGGCATAAAATAAGTCACGTTCTATTAACTGATATTATCAAGATTATTAGTCTTCATTGCCCTATCCCGAATTTTTTCCCAAGAACTTTATATAAATTCAGAAAATTCTTCAGTGAGTTTGGTTTGCCAATAAGACGTCACTACTTTTGTTCCATCTGTTTTTCCAAGTTGGAAAATTCTACAAGCAATATTGAAAAATGTAAGGATGCCAAACAATGTTATTTTATTGAGCTTCCGTTAATTGCCCAATTATTACGTTTGTTTAAACGCGAAGGATTTTATAATTTGTTAAATACTCGATTTGACCGTCAACATGATCCCCTGAAAATAAAAGTGATATTTGGGATGGTGAAATTTATAAAAATCTTAGTTCTCCGAATCAATTTTTATCAAACCGCAATAACATCTCTTTCACGTGGAATACGGATGGAATTGATTTATATAAATCATCCAAATTCAGTATATGGCCATTTTACTTGGTAATTAACGAGTTATCGTTTTCATTGCGATCGCAATTGAAAAACGTTTTGATTGCTGGGTTTTGGTTTGGCCCCACGAAACCTAAAGCTAACGTCTTTATGAATTCATTCCGTCAGAGAATTGAAAATATTTACAGCGGTATTTTTGTGAGAATTCCTAATCATCCGAACGCCATAAAAGTTAGAGGGATGATAATTTGTGGAACGTGTGATTTACCGGCAAAAACATGTTTCTTAAATATGAAAGGGCACAACGGGATTTACGGTTGCTGTAAATGCAAAATCAAAAGTCAGAAAGAAGGTAAGACTCGAGTTTTCCCTTACGAGGAACAAATGAATCCAAGGGCTACTGAAGAAACTGTTCAGCAGGGAGAACGAGCGTTCGAGACTGGAGAATCGGTTGAAGGTGTCAAAGGACCAACGACATTGTCTAAAATCGTTTTAGATTTTATTGACACCACGAGTATCGACTCAATGCATTGTGTTTTTCTTGGCATTGTCAAACAACTCATGCGTCTTTGGTTGGACTCAAAATTTCATAAATCTACCTTTTCTCTACGCGGCCACATAAATTACATCAATCAAACTATAAAAAATATAAATCCACCTTCTTTTACTCACCGATTGCCTCGATCAGTATCGGATTTCAAATATTGGAAAGCTTCTGAAATGAAATACTGGCTTCTGTATTACTCCCTTGTAGTTTTGCGTCCAATTATGCCTACAGCTTATTATGATCATCATAAGCTCTTAATGAAAGCTATTTCGCTTCTAAGCCAATTCAGCGTATCCAACTCAATGATTGAAATTGTCATAAAGTTGTCATAAGGTAGTCATAGAAGTGTCATACAGTAGTCATAAAATTGTCATATAGTGGTCATAAAATTTTTATAATGTCATAAAATTATCCTAATATTCATCAAAGTTTCCTAAAATTTTCATAAAAGTGTCCTAAAGTAGTCATAAAATTGTCATAAAGTAGTCATAAAGTTGTCATAAAGTAGTCATAAAATTGTCATAAAGTAGTCATAAAATTTTCATAATGTCATAAAATTACCATAAAATTATCCTAATATTCATCAAAGTCTCCTAAAATTTTTATAAAAGTGTCCTAAATTGTCAAAAATTGTCATAAAGTAGTCATAAAATTGTCATAAAGTAGTCATAAAATTGACATAAAGTTGTCATAAAGTAGTCATAAAATTGTCATAAAGTAATAAAATTATCCTAATATTCATCAAATTATCCTAAAATTTTCATAAAAGTGCCCTAAAGTTGTTAAAAATTGTCATAAAGTGGTCATAAAATTGTCATAAAGTAGATTAGATTAGATTAGATTAGATTAGATTCATTTTATTTATGCCAAAGCCTGCTGGCCAGATGGCAAGTTTTACAAAAGTACAAAAAATTAATACAATAAAAAGAAAATTATAAACAATGATTGTAAACTATAAAAAAGCTATTGCTGGGAGCTATCATCATTATTAACTAATGCTGTAGTGACTAGTAACTTAAAATCTATCTAAGTAACAAGAATAAACACTAAAAATTAATTTAATTTAAGAGATCAAATACATCATTTAATTCAACCATATTCTTATCTTGATTTATCACAATCTAATACTACTAACCATCAAAATTAAACAGATAATCATACATTTTATTTTTGAAACTCTCTAAACTCACAGCTTCAATGATTTCTGCCGGTAATTCTTCCCACAAACGAATAACTGTAACGACAAATGAACATTCATACTGTGTCGTTGTAAAATTAGGTAATTTAAAATTAATCTTATTTTTCTTAGCTGCTAATCTCTCTGAACGTCTTACATCATTATCTTCGATAAATAAATCTCGCAGATATATCGGTTTTCCAATGTTTAACAATTTGAAAAAGTAACATGCAGCAAAGTATAACCGACGACTCTTAATGGACAGCCAACCAAGTTCACGCCTGTAGGGGGTGACATGCTCATCACGTTTCAAGCTGAAGATAAAGCGTATTGCTGAGTTTAGAGAGCGTTGGAGTTTGCGATCATTATCAAATGTAGAATTCATTAAGACTATCGAGCAATAATCAATTAGAGGTAGTATAGTTGCTGAGACTAAAAGTTTTTTAATATTAGGAGTATAAATATTCTTACGTAATTTTAAACTATACAATGATGAATTTATTTTACTGATACTCTTGGATATATGAAGATTCCACGATAAATTACACGATAAATGGAGACCGAGGCACTTAGCAGACTCAGTAAAAGGTAGAGCCACTCCGTCGATAATGATGGGAGGTAAACCTTCTCGTTGCAATGCTTTTACCCTACTATTCGTTCCTAGAAGCATAGCCTTTGTTTTTAAAAGATTAATTTCTAATCCGTTATCTCTGGCCCAATTCATGACAGCTTGGGCATCAGCATTTATCCGAGCTGACGCTTCTTCCAATTGATACGAGTAAAAGTGAATATATATACGTGAATATATACGTATCATCTGCAAATAGGCCATACCGACTGAATACAATATGTTTGGTGACTAGATTTATGACTATCAGAAATAAAATAGGTCCAAGAACCGAGCCTTGCGGCACACCCGACGTAGTTTTTAAGAATCCGACAGGAAACCCCCGTTCATCTATCACAGACTGACTTCTATTCGTAAGATAAGAAAAGAACCACTTTATCGTTTCAGCAGAAAAGCCTAGTTCAACCAGTGCCCTCAAAATAACTTTTGGATCCACGAAGTCAAAGGCTTTAGTTAAATCAAATAGCACTAAAAGTGTCAGCTTATTATCATCCATTGCCTTACTAACGTCATCTACAAGTTTTAACAAAGCTGGTTGCGTACCATGGAACTTTCTAAATCCAGACTGATACTTATCAATTAAGTCATTGCTCTCAAGATAATTCATTACTTGATTGGCTATAAGTCGTTCGAATACTTTACTAAGATGCGCAGTATTGGCTATTGGACGCGTATCAGACAGCGAGCGTGGTGGAGTTAGTCATAAAGTAGTCATAAAATTGTCATAAAGTTGTCATAAAGTAGTCATAAAATTATCATACAGTAGTCATAAAATTTTTATAATGTCATAAAATTATCCTAATATTCATCAGTTTCCTAAAATTTTCATAAAAGTGTCCTAAAGTAGTCATAAAATTGTCATAAAGTAGTCATAAAATTGTCATAAAGTAGTCATAAAATTTATGTTTCCTAAAATTGTCATAAAGTAGTCATAAAATTGTCATAAAATTATCCTGATATTCATAAAAGTTTCCTAAAATTCCATGAAAGTCTCATAAAATTGTCATAAAGTAGTCATCGAATTTTCATTATGTCATAAAATTATCATAAAATTATCCTAACATTCATCAAAGTTTTCTAAAATTTTCATAAGTGTCCTAAAGTTTTCTAAAATTGTCATAAAGTAGTCATAAAATTTTCATAAAGTTATCCTAATATTCATCAAAGTTTCCTAAAATTTTCATAAAAGTGTCCTAGTTGTCAAAAAGTGGTCATAAAATTGTCATCAAGTAGTCATCAAATTATCATAAAATTAACCTAATATTCATAAAAGTTTCCTAAAATTGTCATAAAAGTCTCATAAAATTTATTTTGACTCGCGATTGGTTTACCGCAAGTATATAAAATGTTACGTATAAAATTAAAGCTTATATTTTATACCAAATAAGTGAATTACTCAAATATATTGTGAATAAAGGTTTAGTTCACAATTAATAAATGCAAGACTAATAATAGATGTTGCATTGAGTAAAAAACCATGAGGTTGAGTTTATCTTTAATTTATTTAAAGTAAAGAAATGCGACTGTGCGCTACAAAGTATGTAAGTATAACTAACTTAGAGAAAATACAAAAATTGTTACAAGGAGAGTAAGAACTAGGCGTTACAAGTACAAGCAGAAAAAATTAGGAGTAGGAATATTTGGTAACGAATAGTTAACGAGGAAATAATTTGGAGGCGGGATAGTTGCAAACTATGCAGTTTTGAAAAATAAGTAGGAAAGGGAAAAGGGATGCTAAGATTTTTACCTGGATGGGCGATACGTTTACAGAAAATATTTCTAAACTTAGTTAGCAATTAAAAGATTAAAAATACAAAATTTACCAAGAGTAAAAACCCAGAGTAATATAACCCAGGTATCAAGTTTATGACCATAAGCAGATTAAAAATTATTTAAGAAGATATCCCAAAAATTAGCATTAAAAATTCATTTTCTATTCTAAAGCTAGAAAATAACAAGAATATAAAAAGGGAAAAATTTGTCTAGACTGCTATTGCAATACATAGACTGGGAAATTTACACTCATAAATAAAGTTGAACAAATGAATGAACCTTTTTTTTCTAGATAACTTAAAATACTTAAGAGTATGGGTTTGAATTTAAAATAAAATATGTTATTTACCAATTTAAATAATAATTTTGACTATAGAATAAAAAATATAAAATTGTTTAATTAATTTAAATTTTTTTTTAATAAAACTAATCGTACGACGGAACAAAATTGTCATCAAGTAGTCATCAAATTGTCATAAAATTAACCTAATATTCATAAAAGTTTCCTAAAATTGTCATAAAAGTCTCATAAAATTGTCATAAAGTAGTCATGAAATTTTCATTGTGTCATGAAATTATCATAAAAGTTGTCTAAAATTGTCATAAAGTAGTCATAAAATTCATAAGTTTTCTAAAATTGTCATAAAGTAGTCATAAAATTGTCATAAAATTATCCTAATATTCATCAAAGTTTCCTAAAATTTTCATAAAAGTGTCCTAAAGTTGTCAAAAATTGTCAAAAAGTGGTCATAAAATTGTCATCATAGTCATAAAATTGTCATAAAATTAACCTAATATTCATAAAAGTTTCCTAAAATTGTCATAAAAGTCGAATAAAATTGTCCTAAAGTTGTCATAAAATTACCATGAAAGTATCCTAAAATTTTCGTAAACGTACTCTTTGCAACATTTTTTTTTTTAGTAAGTGCTCTATATTTTTCCAAAATCCAAATTTTATTTCGGCTTGGTGTCATAAAGTTGTCATAAAAGTGTCCTAAATTGTGTCACGTTTAGGATCATAAGCTTATGACAACTTTATGACAAGTTTTTTTTACACGGGTATATTAATGAGAAAAATTAGGTTATTAAGATATATTTTTCACTCATAATTCTGTCTGTGTTGCCTTAGTACTTTCTTTAAAATGAGCGACTCAAAAAAATGTTTTATGCTTATTATCATTATAATAACTATAGATGCTTATATAGTGACTATTGTATTTTTCAGGAACTCTCGCAGTCTACTAACATTTAATTCATTTAATGTGTATTATTGGTATTATAATGTCTTACTATATTCATTATATTAACTTCGTCTCCTACTGTTAAAATTATTTTCCACTCAATTATCAAAGTTTCCTAATTTTAGTTGAATATTCGTGAAGTTCTAAAATAATATTTACTTATATTGAGCTTTAAAAATGGTGTTTTACTGTTCTCAATGTACTTATTCTAGTGCAGAAATCAAACGGTATATTAAGCATTTAAAAACTCATCCCATTTTAACGGGACAATTTATTTGTGGATATAATCATTGCGGTGCAACATTTAGATTTGAAAACTCTCTTAGAAGTCATATTAATCGATCTCATAATTTTACACGTGAAGAAGCAGGTAGTTTAGAGTCAAATAATAAGCAAAAACTTGAGCTCCTAGAATTGAAATGTAATGTTCTTTATTGCACACAGAAATTTGATGATATTAAAAAATTTAAAACACACTTAAATAATCATATTAAAGACGGTGTAGCTGTTCAATGTTATTTTCCGGAATGTAATAAAACTTACAGAAAAGTCAACTCATTGTCATCTCATATATCTATAAACCATATCGAGAAAGAACTTTGTTCGGAGCTTTGTAACGAGTACGAAAAAGCCTTTGTTTATTTATTTAATGGAAAAATAGTAAGTCAAGGCCCAGATGTACTCAGGACAGCGATTTATGATAGTATCAACTATCAAAAATCGCGTGTAAAAAAAAGAGCTAGAGCAAATAGAGAAGATCATGATGATACTCTGCGGAACCGACAAGGAAAAAAAAATGCAAACAAGATGAGTACGGATGCGTAGCTTTCTAGCCTCTTCTACCTGAAGAAGAGACAGAAGAAACACAAGAAGAGAAACGTATAAAATTGAATTATATAAAAAATCACTCAACAGTTGCCGATTACCAAGAGATATGCGATTTAATGAAACAGACATATTATTATCAAAGGAAGAAAATAAACAGCTTGAGAAGTATAAATGAAACGTTCATTGACTGGCCTTATCTCCGTGAGTATAAAATATTTCTTGCTCACGCTTCTGAGCTTCTCGGTAAAAATGTTGAAGTTCTATGGAAAGCAACCATCCAGGCTGTGACGAAACCGATAACCGAGTATTTTAAAGTACATGAAGTGATGAATGAACACTCCAAAAGAAAAGCGAAGAAATCAGGGACGTTACAAATAGAAGTTTTAGAAAAAGCTCCTGAAGAAAGCACTCGGTATATCCGCGATGCAATTAAAAATGCCAAGAACCATGCCCAATTTATTAAAAATGATATTCCACTTACAGACATCATTTTCTCATTTATCGTAAGGTACATGAAAGAAAATCAGGATCATCTGTATCTGTTTGTCGATGTAAGTTTACTCTTTTGTTCATACAATCTTAAAAAACGTCTTTTAACTATCGTATAAAATACTAATATGTTAATTTAATGTTTTAGGAAGAATTATCCGATGATGAGATCTGCAAAAAAGCTCCATTAGTCACCCCGATTCTCATTATTCGAGGTATGATATTATGTAATATATTTTTTTTAATAATTAAATGCAAGCTATTTTATCATTTGTTACTTTTTTTTTAGGAAATAATTTACACGATTCAGCCAATAAATACGATGTTATAATCGAAAAACAAAAATCCGTTTCCGTGGAGTCATTTCAAAATGGAATTTTAGTTACTTTTCTAATGTATTATGTATTTGCTTTAGAATATCCTAAAAGTATCGAAGGAACATTGGAAACAATTCAAAGGTAAATTTAATGTAAATTCTACCAGGTTAAATGACTTAATTTCCACTATTTTAAAGGCTAATTAATATTTTATAAATTTTTCAGATTGTTCCTTGAAATCTGCCCCCAAGAAGGGACGAAGCGCGCCAGCAAAACCAAAAAAGCGACTGCCATACATCCAAAAGTGTTATCTTTAACTGACAACATTGGAATATACACGGATTCAGATTAATAATTTTAAATTATTTTTATAATAAATGACAATAAAAAAGAAAATTTCAATAAAATATATAATAAAGCAAAATCTTTTTCAAAAAATCCATGTCACATCATTTTAAAATAAATCAAAATGTCTTTTACGATATTCCAATGCTACGATACTAAAATTTCTAATTTGATTTATAAAAAATATTTGGTAAAATTGCTAGATTATTTTTGTAAAATTACAATGTCACTATTGTAATATTCCAATTGTACTGTACCGAAATTCCCAATTAAATTTGTGGAAAATATTTAGTAAATTTACTACATTTCTATTGTAGAATAACAGTAAAAATATACCAAAATTCAAAATCTAATTTCTACAAAATAATTGGTAGAATCACCATATTGTTATTGTAAAATTCCAATATCAGGATATAGTAAAATTACAATATTAGTATACTAAGATTCCTAATTCAACTTGTAGAAAAAATGTTATAAAATTCCAATATCACGATATAGTAAAATTACAATATTAATACACTAAGATTCCTAATTCAACTTGTAGAAAAAATATTGTTAAATTCCAATATCACGATATAGTAAAATTACAATATTAGTATACTAAAATTCCTAATTTAACTTGTAGAAAAAATACTGTAACATTACTATATTATTCCCTTGTAAAATGTATTGGAAAAATACTATATTACTATGGTAATTTTACAAATGCATACCTGAATAATACTTTCTATTTTTTTATTGTAAAATTAAAACAAAAATTTTTAACAGTAAACACATTATCTGACTCAGCTCGCCTAGTTAAGTCAAAATATAGAAAATTTTTGAAAAGTTACGTCACGAGGACAAATGCAATGGTTAGTTAAAAGTAGAGTAAAAAATATCTTATCGAATGAGTTATGATATATGTCCGTACGTAAATTAAGAGATAATAATAAAATTAACAAACAAATAATTAGCTTTGTTTTACACAGGTATTTGATGAAGATTCGATGGAAAACTCGATTTTAAATAATTGGAATGAAATCAATAACTCTCTAATTTCTGAAAATTATTTATTTTCATGGCGGAAATTAAAAATAAATAATGCATTCGAAATTAAATCATTAAGCAATGAAACATTTTTCTAAGTATATTAATAATGTATGTTTGAAATTGAAAGAAAATTTTTTTCAAATCTGCTGTCTAGACAATTGTCTAGACGATCGTCTCTGTCTAACGTTAGTAGTAAACATTACAAAAAAGAAAAGAATATATAGTCAAATTTTCATAAACAGTATTATTGCTGTACAGGAACACTTTAAGCGCAAAATGCCTAACTATAGTTATATGCTCACAATATGGAAGGTGAAAGACTCCCCACTCTTTAGAACGCCTAACAGCAGTGACCGTCCCTATTTTCACAGCCAATGAGATTTTTAGTTTCAAACGAGGTATTTGTCGCCCTCTACAAGCAAAGGTAACTAAACTAATCGTCGACCCTCAATGTATCAGTTCCTTTGAATCTTCTAAAGTATTCACTTCGTAGTAATTTGTGCATTTAACTTCATAGTGAGCTTTTATAACAATTCATAGATTTATTTTCAAGTCAAAATATTAAACCGCAAAGTGTTAATAGAAATGGCGTTCTTGTTCAGCAATTCGGGACCAAATGAAGAAATTCTTGCAAATTTTGAGCCAGAACTTCAAGAGATTATTTTATCCGCGGAAATACCTCCACCTTATGTGGATGAATTTGATCCCTTTCTTGAAGTTCTTGACAAAGAACCAACTCTTTGTCAGCAACGGTCAATTGTAAAAAAAGGTAAAATTTTATTTTTTCACTCTTACGGTTGCTCTGCATGGATAAATATTTATAATCCACTTTAAAAAAAATTTTGTTAAAATATATTACAGAGAAAAAGTAACATTTAAGTTATTGAGTCATTGTATGTCAGCCCATTTTCGATTCCATGATTTAAAAAGTTTAATTTCATTTATTTTTTTTTTATTTTAGATTATTCGTCATTAACAGTATTAATTAGCAACAATAAAAAAATATTATTAATTTTTTAATTGAATTATTCTTCAGAATTAAAGGACTTTATTTTTTTTTTTTTAATTAGTCGTTAATTAATAATAATATGTGTAATCGAATAGTAAATTTAGTTTAATTTCAAAATATTTAACTAACTTCATTTCAGTCATCAATTTTACATTTATATTATGGGATTTTTCACTGAGGATTTCTATTTTTTAAGTCAACATTTATTAAATTTAAAGTACAGAAATTAATAATTTTCATTTGTTTATTTCAGAGTTCAATAAAAAGCGCAGAAATAGAACTGCTTTTACTAATGATCAACTTTTTCATCTGGAGATGGAGTTTATCAACCAGGGCAAGTACTTGTGTCGTTCAAAAAGAATCAACGTCGCCAGAGATTTGGGTTTGGATGAACGACAGGTAAGAAAATTGATAATTGTTCTTTATTAATTTAAAAAAAAAAATAATAAAATTATAAATGAAATTCGATTGATGTAGTTTTCGAAGTATTTTTTTAATACACATGAGAAACTTAAAGGAATATTATGAATAATTTAATTATTTTGCATAGACTTAAATCAATAAATTCTTCAAAATGATATTCTTAGATCACCGTTTCTTTTTTTTGAATCAAGTTAATTTTTATAATCAGTTTATATATGGCCATTTAATTAAAAAAAAAAAAAAAAAAACAATTATTCAATCTTTTTTTTTTTTCAATTACTCTGCATTTTTATTTTTAATATTTTTTTGCGCACAAGAAAATTAATTAGAAAATGTTTATTTTTTTTTTTCAAAATTAATCCCAATAATTTTCAAGAAATATTTATAAACGTTTATATATTGATTTTTGGTCAGCCAATCGATGAGTTTATAGTTGAAAATAATAATTGTTATGAAATAATTGATATGTAAAACCAATATAATTTTTTTACAGGTGAAAGTCTGGTTTCAAAATCGTCGTGTAAAAGATAAGAAAGCTGAATCAATCAAATACGATAAAGACAAGGAGATGAATTCTAAGACTGCTCTGCCTGATACTAAAATTGAATGCAAAAAGAGACACGTGGAAATCGAGAAAGAAAAAACATGCCAGAACACCAGCTTAGCCGCGTCTGCTCCTGCTCCTGCTTTTGCTTCAGGTTCAGTTATTTACGGAGAGAATCAAATGCATACTCTCAACTACAGCAGCCATTCATCCAGTGACACCCACAACCATCACCTGAGTAGTTGGAATCTCCATAACAGAATTAACTACGACATGATTCAAAATCAGGATTCTAACAATTTTAATGGTCCTGACGGTCGTACTGTTGGCAACAATCATCCCGCTGCTATTTACAGCGATTCTTACAACTTGAACTATAATTACATTTTTAATAATTATTATTATTATCCACCTGGTTACAACTATCAGACTGCTGATTTTAATTCAAATTATTCTGGATCATCCCATCAATGATTCGATTCCAACGGATTTGATGATCTACTTCTTAATGATAACAGTTATTTATCTTCCATAGTAAATATTTAAAAATTTGGATTATTTCTTCAAATATCAAGATATTATCAATAGTAGATATTTAGTTTGAGAAAAAAAATTCTGCTTATTGCTTGTAAATTTTTTTAATCAGATAGCGTGGAATGTTCTGAAAAATTTTTTTACGTTAAAAAATGTTTGATCTTCACATAATTTTTAGATTACTGAAAAATTATAAAAAGTTGGATCATCTTGAATCTATAATAGTAAAATTTAATTTTATTAAGAACATTAACAACTTTTGAGTTGAAGTTAAGTTGTTTCAATAATAAACTTTTTTGAAATGAAATTCTTTGTTTCAAGATTTGTTTTTGTTTAATTAACTCAAATTATTATTAATATGATGAATGTATTATATTATATATTAAATTATAAAATAACTTATACCGTGATATTATGTTTATGAAGATTGTTTCTTTCAATTACTTTATTAGGCATCATATAAATGATAATAATATTGTTGTTATTATTTTTATTATCATTGTAGAAATAAATAATTGAGAAAATTCTAACTTGCAATGTACGCTTAAGTGTAAATGATTTTTAAAAAAGTATTAATATGATAAAATTGTTTTATACTTTAATAATAATATTATTATTTATTACATTAAGTTATATTTTTGTAAAGGAAAAAAATTGTAAAATAGTTAAGTAGAAACGTAAATTAATTCTTTGGTATTTGTAAATATTTTTTTCTTTACTAAACATTGTATTGATAATTCTTTTTATGAATTTCGAATAAATATTGTCAAATTACAAATTGTTTTTATTTATTTACTGATTTATATTTATAAAACATATTCTTAAAGCGTAAGTTTATTATTTACCTATAATTCAGTGAAATTTTATTAATATACTTTCTTGTTAGCATCATCGCTCGTAATCGTAATACCGTCGTCAAAAATGTACCGTAGTTTAATATTTCAGTATTTTCGGTGATAGCATAAAAAGAAGATGTCTTCTATTCTCCTATTCTATATAATTGTCTTATTAACCATTTTTATAAATTATTTTTTATATTATTACATTTTATTTTATGTTTTTAATGAGAAAAAAGTCTATTGATTATTTGAATATTAAAAGATTATACTGGCGAATAAATATACTTCCATTCTGAGGTATTTTAAAAAAATTATTTGGAAAATTCAAAAGTGCATGTCTCATAGTGACTATTTATTTTTTGACAAAAAAAAAATAAATTGTCTAATTGATTAAAAAAAAAAAAAATGATGGAGTCATTTCTCACAGACGACGTATTCTAGGAGGAGAATCTCTGATGGTCATGGCTTTAATAAAAAAAAAAATTTTGTCGTGCCCCAGAAAATAAATTTTTTTTTTATTTACTGCAAAATTTCGACTAATTTATTCGTAATATACATAAAATAGACGAATTTGATGGTTAAAAACTACAAAAAAGAAATAATCGGCTAAAGGAGGCCGTCACTGAAAGAAAAGATTTCTTTTCATAAAAATCAGCAATGTTGTAATAAGAAGTTGATTTGTTAAAAAATTTTAAACAATTTCATTTTTTGGCTGAAGAAATAAAATTAATTCCTACAGTAACTTTCCGATAATATAAAATTAATGATTGAACTGAAGTTAGTTTAGTATCGAAAAATCTCGGAAATCTCGAAAAAATAGTTACTGATTCCTCATTGGGTAGGATTAAATTGCGCGCGTATGCGCGCAATTTGAATTCATAGTCTGGTTGAAAAAAAGTTTATTTGATTTGGAAAAAAATAATTTCAGGTAGACTACTTACGAATTTTCATCCAAAAAAAGGAAAAAATTACACAATAAATATCAATAAGTATCTCTTCGAATTTAAAACTAGAAAAATTGCAGTTCGAAATAACATTTTTTAAATTCAAACTTTTACTATTAATTTTTACAAATAAATAAAAAATTTTACAGCGCAAAAAAATTATCCATATTTCCCACTAAGCATCTCAATATTTCAAACAAATTTTAATAGTCCAAAAACGTTTTCGCACACAGAAAAAAAAATTAACTTGAATCAAGAAAATAATTTTGAAGAATTTTATATCGTTTTAATTTTAGTAGAAAAATTATTGAACTAAAAAATTTTTTTGGTTCGAGTAAATTTTACTTGATTAAGAATTTTTCATCTTTATTCAAGAAAATGGAACTTTTTAAAACTACTTTCTATGTCCATGACTTCTTCTCTCGATTCAAATTATTTTTTTTTTTTTTAGTGTAAAGTATTTTACAATTCATTTTATAACTTATACATTTTCAAAGAAGATCTTAAATTAAATCGTCAAAGAAGTGTCTAATGATTCTTAATGCTGTTTTTTAAAAGTTCATAAAATATTTCTCAAAAATATGAAAAATTTTCATAAAAGTTTAGTCACTTCTAAAACGTCAACAAAGTGTCAGACGAATTTCTAATGTTGTTTTTTAAAAGTTTACGAAAAGGTCGCTCATGAAATGTTTCTCAAAAATCTGAGGAATTTTTTCACAAAACTTAGTCATTCCTGAAACGTCAACGAAGTGTCAAATGCTTTCCTAGTGCTGTTTTTCAAAAGTTCACAAAAAGTTGATAAAACATTTCTCAAAAATATGAAAAATTTTTATAAGAATTTAGTTACTTCTGAAACGTCAGCAAAGTGTCAAGAGCTTCCCTAATGCTGTTTTTCGAAACTGAGATTGATTGTTTAACTTCCCGCTAAGAAAATTGAAAATTTTCGGAAATCGAGAAGTTATTGGATTCACCCCGTTTTTTCAAAAATCAAGTTTTCATTAGATCTCGACGTTTTAAGGTCACACAAAGCTTTCCTGACAATTCTCGCGGCGGTGTCCGTGCGACTGTGTGTGTGTGTGTGTGTTTGTTTTTTTTTTTTTTTTTTTCCTTGGGGGGGGGGAATCCTTTTTACGGATTCTAGGCATAGATGTTGGCCTGGATATGTGGCGACTCGACGCAGCGTCATACTAAAACTCGACGCTGACGCCCCTACCCACTAAACCCTAAACCCCTTTCTCTTCTATCCTCTGATCCCCCATGGTACCGTCGTAAGGCATTTCTTCGCGGGGGAAGGAATTAGCTGCCACTCTTCCTTCTGGTGGCTAAGATGTTATCTTCCTTCTAGATTCTGTCTTTCGCTCTTTTCCTCTCAATGGATCGAGACTCAGTAAGCACTTTTGTAGCAAAAATGCTTATGGCGTCCAGGCAGCTTCTGACGACAACATCGCCTCTACTATTGACTCTGGTTGGGCTCTCTTCTTCAGAATCTTCTCTAACTCATTGCGCTGTTGGTTAAAACGTGGACACACAAAGAAGACATGCTCCGCTTCTTCATTGACCCCTGGACAGGACGAGCACTCTGGGGTATCGTCATGCTTAAAGCGGTGGAGATACTTCCGGTAACAGCCGTGTCCTGATAACATCTGTGTAAGATAATAGTTGACCTCACCGGGACTCCGGTTTAGCCAAACGTTGATCCTTGGTATGAGACGATGCGTCCACCTACCCTTCACTGTGGCATCCCACTGAGATTGCCATCGTGCGATGCTGTGCTGTCTTTGTTCCGTTCTGAGTTCTTCTGCGCTCAGTGTTGTTGACCTCTTTCGTGTATGTATGTATGTATGTATGTATGTATGTGTGTATGTATGTATGTATGTATGTATGTGTGTATGTGTGTGTGTGTGTGTATGTGTATGTGTGTGTGTGTGTGTGTGTGTTTCCCTTTAGGGGGGGGGGGGAATCCTTTTTACGGATTCTGGCATAGATGTTGGCCCGGATATGTGGCGACTCAACGCAGCGTCATACTAAAAACTTGACGCTGACGCCCCTACCCAATAAACCCTAAACCCCTTTCTCTTCTATCCTCTAATCCCCCATGGTACCGCCGTAAGGCATATCTTCGCGGGGGGAGGAATTAGCTGACACTCTTCCTTCTGGTGGCTAAGATGTTACTTCTTCCTTCTAGTTTCTGTCATTCGCTCCTTTCCTCTCAATGGATCGCAACTCGGTAAGCACTTTTGTAGCAAAAATGCTTGTGGCGTTCCAGGCAGCTTCTGAAGACAGCATTGCTTCTACGACTGACTCTGATTGAATTCTCTTCTTCAGGATCCTCTCCAGCTCCTCACGATGTTGATTGAAATGCGAGCACTCGAAAAAAACGTGCTCCGCATCTTCAGTGGCTCCAGGGCAGGACGAGCACTCCGGAGAATCGTCATGCTTAAAGCGGAGCAGGTACTCTCGAAAGCACCCATGTTCAGACAACATCTGCGTTAGATAATAGTTGATCTCACCGTGACTCCGGTTGAACCACCCATCAATCCGAGGTATGAGACGGTACGTCCACCAACCCTTATCTGAAGCGTTCCACTCTTGTTGCCATCTTGCGATGCTGTGTTGCCGTTCTTCGCTTCAAAGTTCTTCAAGGCTCAGTGTGTTTGACCTTTTTCGCTGATATAGACTCCGTCTTTCCTCAGCTAGGACTCTGAGAGCCAGAGTACCGGAAATAACACACACTGCATCCTCTGATATTGTGCGAAAGGCGCTAGCTACTCGTAGGGCACTCAGTCGATATACTGGTCCAGCCTTTCTCCATGATTCTTGCGTCTTTAGGGCGTCGGCTCAAATGGATATTCCGTAAGTGAGCACCAATGTGACTACT